ACTACAGTGAGAAAGAAGGGATGCGAGATTCTTTGACTTTGCTTTCCTGAGTTAACTTTTCAAAAGATCTAAACCCCCACACCTTGATTTTTTAACATGAGTTTCAAAATAAAGAAAGGAAAACTATGACCATCCTCACCTATACTATGCCCATTAAAGGCAGGGTTTTTTTTTTTGTTTTTTTAAAAAAGGTATTTACTTCTGATTCTGTACTTGGTTCCAGGGGTTTATAAGTTAATGTATTTACCGTATATAATTCATATATTCAAAATGACAGTTTGAGGGTCTTGATGTATAATTATCTTAAGTCCTTTGGTATCTTCCACCAAAGCATTAAGCCAATACTACTTAAAACAAAACAACAATAATAATATAAAGCCTATACAAGATAGCTTGGAGCCTGTTTATGCTTATTTTTTTAATGTTATACTGTAGTTTTGGACCTGCATTTTGCATTTCTTATTAGAATGCAGAATTTGTTTAGAATAATCATTTTTCACAAGAGATCTAGCAAATACCTTTTGCACTGTGAGGCTTGAACTAAATGTTCTTTGACTGTGTTGCATGTAGTTTTATATGAGGCTTCCTTATTTTAGTTTTGGGAATTGTCTAGGGAGAGTTTGTCCTTCCCCCCCCCTTTTTTTTATGAGGAGCATCATACCAGCTGTGACTTTCCCCCTAAGCATTCAAGCTGCAGGGATGGGATAAATGACTCTGATCGTATCAGCAACGGGAAAGTTTATATCAGGGAAGGAGGGTTTAAGTCTCCCCTCCTTGTATGCTGGTTTCTTTGCAACTTAAAAAAAATAGTAATGGGAGAACCACAGGCAGTTATTAGGTGGGCAGAATGAGGCATGATTGCAATTTCTGTTTAGGCCTGAAAGTAATCCCCAAACAGTTGCCTTGTATAGTAGACTGCAGTTTGACACCCATCTGGTTTCCCCGTTTTCTGGTATGGATCCCTTTCTTCTGGGAGGTAAGGAAACATCTGATAGTTGCTGGTTTCTAATACCTTTATCAAGACAGACAACATCTAGATTGGCCTTAACAGGCCATAGCTTAGTGGTTGACTTCCCCAGGGTCATTCCCTGGAATTTAGGATTATAGGAAGCTGCCTTATATACTTGGGCCATCTTGGCTAAAGTTGTTGCTACTGATTGGGACTGGCTCTCTTTCAGAAAAAGTTATTCTCCAGGGATTCTTCCTTAGCTCTAACTGGAGATGCTAGAGGGTTGAACCTTCAACCTCCTGCATGTGAAACAGACACTTGAGCTACAGTATCCTGTCTTATCTAAAAGGATTGTATAGCAGGTGACACAAAAGACTGCCTCCTGAGATTGTCCTGAAAATCTTGACTTGGCAAAAGGCAGCTTCCAGTCCCAATTCCTTGCATTCCCAGTTGTGGCCTAGAGCCAGGATATTCAACACCAGTTTCAGAGTGGGTGGAGGGGTGTTCAAGGGCTTTCAAAGAGCTAGGTCTAAACCCCACAATCCACCTTGTGCTTCCCTGTGACTGCTATGGGATAGCTCGTGGCTGCCGTTACCCTGTTCATGGAACTGAATCAGTCTCTGTTTACTTCTTTCTCAAATTACAGTATCTAAAGGAATGAGGGAGAAAAATGTTCATGATCCAGCTGGTCCTGGAACAGGATTGCTTTTCTTAGTGGAATGCTGCCGCTACTGCTGTTTGCATTATGGCTTGGAACCTCACTTTTAAATTAGTGTGAGCTGCTTCCATGTGGCCTGTATTTGCTGGTCAAGTGCTATGTTTTGAAATCACAGAGGACACTGCCAATTATCATGTTTGGTTAGCTTAACATAAGAAGTTGTGGCTGTAAAAAGCCATGAGTGTTCATACAAGGACTCTTGTTAACACTGGAGAGAAAAGTCCTTTTATACGGTCTTAGGTCATAGGTTTAATTTCACCTGATACAAAGGACAATGTTATTCCTTATTACTAGTGACATGGTGATTTGTTTATTTATTTTCAATTTAAACATGGCCTGTAAATATCAGCTTGATTTAGGAAAGATTAGTGGTTAAGTAGCACAGAAATGTTTCAGAATTTACAAACTCTGTTGTGGGACTTACTAGTCTTGAAGCAGTAGGATAAAGGGGATGCTTGTAATGTTACACCTGAGTGAAATTAAATCACAGCATGATTTGTGTTTCCCTAATGCAGAGGTGGCTGGTTTCTTCAGCCTGAGAATGTGGAACGGCTTCCGTTCAGAAGTTGGGCTCTCCTTGACAAAGCATGTCATTGATCCTTTACTGTTCAAGTGAGACTTCACAATAGGAGTAAAAAAATGATGCTCTGTAATTTCCTGAGGACTATCTAGAGGTTAAAGAACCTCACTTACCTGATAGTAGCTGCCCTTTCTTTCACCCAACAGAAGCAAAGGGAATCTGTTTTCACTCAACAGATGAAAAACATTTCTGTTTTGGGATTCTCTTCTCACTGGAACTGGGAGACTCATAAACACAAACAAACACATTCTAAAGACTTCTTTCCACTTTACTGGGCAAGAAGATCTCTAGGATGCATGCAGAGCAGATAAAGACACTGGGAAGTCTGGATTTTATTCAACAAGATGTTAAAGAAAAGAGTATAGAGTTTGAGAGTTCAATTCCCCTCTGTTCCTCCTTGGCAAGGGCAGGACTTGATTATCCATAGGGCCCCAGCTCTGCACTTCTAAGATGATGATCTTTTTGTTAAAGGATCATGCAGAGGAAAAATGCTACTAGTTAGCTAGCTCAGTGAATTAGATATTTGTGGAGTCAGAAGTAAGGAGTTCAGTTCCACCATGTGTCTCCTGGGAGAAAAGTGTGGCTATGTATCTTTGGGAAAACTGCACAGTCCCAGAGTGCCCTTAAAGAATGATAAAGGATTTCTGAGTTTTCTATACCTAGAAATTCCTGGAAAATTTGCAGTAAAGTCAGACTTGACAGCATATAATTCTCAAAGCAGACAGTAAGGCTGCTTTAGGCTATTTCCTTTGGCACAACTTAAGTAAATAAAACATGTGCAAACATTTTCAAGTAACCTATGCAGCAGTAAAATGAACATCCGAGCACAAGTCTTTCTAGACAGTCCCTGAGTTCTTCAACACCATGAGACTCTTTGGGTTTCTTGTCTCCCATTTTTCCAGTGACTACCCAGTTCTCTCCAGGTCCACTTGACTCTAAGACCACAACAAAATAAGAAATAAGCTTTCTGGCTTCCAATCTAATGATCCCTGAATGAATCTGATTGGCTAATATCTGCACGTCATCAACAGCAATATCACTGGCTGTCTTATGATAGTAACCCTTTCCTGTCATGATGCCAACCTGTAAGCACAAGTAATTTTTGTTTGCAATGCCAGATAATGGTACAACTGAATCAGTAGACTTGTCATGACAACAACTTACAGCTTGAGGAAGTTACTTTATTGCCTGCACTCCCAGTATCTTCCAGTGGTCATAGGTTACAAGATGGTCGATAAAGAAGTTGGGAAGGGCCTTAGCTCAAGTGCCAAAGATCATGGGTTAAATGACCAGCATCTTCAGGTAGGACTCAGAAAGACTCTTGTCTGAAAGCCTGAAAAAATCACTGCCAGTCAGTATTGCCCTTGATATGCTAGATCAGGGGTGCCCAACCTTTCACCTTCCCTGGGCCACATCAGAAGATGAAAATTTGGTTTGGGCCGCACATACATTTGGTTTGGGCCGCATGGGGGGGCAGCCCTAGCCATCCTCCGCAGCCCTACTCCAAGCGCGCTTACCGGCAGCTGTGATCTCAAACAGCAGAGGCTGCCAGCTTCAATTCCGGCGGCTTTATGGGGCCAAGAGGGGGTCTACTTATTGCCTGGGATGGCGCAATGCAGTCACGCAGCCCCCCTGTCCCCTCCCCTCCCTCTCCTTCCTTCCTTCCTTCCCTCTCTCCCCCTCTACTGTTGTGACATGCCCCAGCCACATTCCGGCCGTAAGCGCCAGCAGTGTAACTTGAAACTTTGGAATTTCTTTAAAAATAAAAAATTGCACTGGGCCGCATTACGAGCTGACCTGGGCCGCATGCGGCCCTCGGGCTGTGGGTTGGACAAGCCTGTGCTAGATGGTCCAGAGCCCAACTTGGTGTAAGAATGAGCAAGTATCCTTTTAAATGTAGATGTGCACCTGAGTGACTACATTACAAACCTGAAGCTAACATGTTTTAGATGCACAACTCTGATGTTTACAAGGATCTTTTCAGCTTTGAGCCCTGAGCATTCCAGTGCTCAGTGTCTTTAGAAACTAAGGAATTAAGGGAGTAAAGACATGGTTGTTCACCCGAGGAGCAATTCATTGAAAAATTTATTTACCAATAATGTGTGTGACAAGTCAAACTAAGCCTTCTTGTACCCAAAAGACATTAACATGGAGGTCAAAAGATAGCAATTGTTTAAAATTGATCGAATAGCTAAATATAGAAAAGAAAACAGATGTGTGTAAGTGTGCAGGTGTGTGTAACCAACCCTCAGAAGGGAAGATAAATGTGATGTCAAAATACCGTGTATCAGATTATGTGTATGGTTAACTCTGGTGTGATGCCTGGTTATATTTAAGTTTATTGTTTATATTGTTTGGGAAGGATGTGATTTGAAGGGGTGAGTGAAGAGAATGGAATATTGGTTAGAATGGTTCTGGAAGAGATACTGGATAAAGAGGAGGGGTGTGTGTGTGTGAGGGAGAGAGAGTCAAGGAGTAAAGGGTGAGGGGAGTCATGCGATTTATACAGAAGAGTAGTCTGATGTAGAGTGCTTCTAAGCCTTATACATTTTATTTGACTTAAGCTTCAAAAGTTCTATAAGTTGGGCATCTAGCTGGAGGCAAAGCCTGGGAGTTCAATTCCCCATTGTACCTCTTTTTAGGATTAGTAGTGAAAATAAAAGAAAACTGACTGGAAGGATCAACGTAGTCCTTTAGACTTGGAAGGTGGATTTTGAAAGTCTGCTAGAAAATGAAGGAAAGTGAAAATATCTCCTCTTTCTGCTATGATGAAAGGTTGGTAATGAATGGAATCTTTTGCATTCATATTATTGGCCATAGCCATGGTAGATACCAGAGATGCAACAGGGTTTCTTTGCTCAAAAAAGGGACTAACATAGGTCATAAAAGAGCTGTCAAAAGCATGGGTTTGTCAGATGTCTTTCAAGTTTTAAAGAAGTGTGAAAAGAATGTGTAAGTTCTTTAAAAAGTGGGGACTGGGTAAAACTGGAACAGAATAGAACAAGAACGTCTTAATAAAAATATTCATGCCAAAACTAGTGGGATGGACAAACACCTGAACAATATTTTAGACTCCAAACCAAATGAATATTATTTTTTTCATTAATCCTTTGTTGCTCCAAACCCCACCAGAGTGAAACACAGTGGCCAGGAATGGCAAATTCTGAAAAGAATTCTTAGTAGGCTAACCCAACCAAGCTCACAATGGATGCAGATGAGATGGATGGATGCAGCAAACCAATCTGTAGGAACAACATTCCAGCCTCTGTTCCAGGCAGAAAATTACTATTGTAAAATACACTTCAGAATAGCAACTTCCAAGTAGGACATCTCAACGAAATCCACCTGCTCCATCCGACTAGTGACAACTGATGCAACTAGCCACAAAACAACCCTGGGAACACCATTCCACTACCTGCTCAGGGTAGAAAATCGATACTGTGAAAAACAACCGGTGAGTTCTAAGTAGGCCAGCCCAACCAAATTTACCTACCCATTTAGTCCCAACAAAGTGAATATTGTTAATAATAACAAAGAAAGGGGTGTTTTTTTTTGATGGGATGTTCTGTAGCTGTGGAACTTCTTGGGAGGCCCTGATTCTAATTTCCTTTCAGCCACTGAACTCAGTGGGCAAACTGGGCCCATTGCTCTCTCTCAGTCTAATCTATATGTGGATTGTTGTGAGGACAAAATAGGAAAGAGAACTATGTAAGTTTCCTTCAGCACATTTGAAGAAAAGCAGGATATAGATGCAACAACAAAAAAAAGATCAGAATATGATTTCTTATGGAGGTAACAGGCTGCCTTTCACAGTGTAAGGGTACTCTATAACGCTGAACACCTGCAGCCTTAAATAAAGTATTCTTCAGAGAGGTAACCATGTTAGGCTCCTTCAGCAACAAAACACCGACATATTGCAGCAACCTGAAGATTAACACGTTTATTTAAGCGTGGTCTTTCATGGATTCTGAAGTATCCAGATTTGTGTTTTTGGATTACAGTTTCCAGAATTCCCCAGTCAGCTATGCTGCCTAGAAGATTCTGGGAACTGTAATCCAAAAAAACTAAAACTACACAACTGAGAGTCACTTCTGGCTAACGCATACACTCATGTTTGTGTCCCTGTTTTTAGCCCTGTATGTGATCAGGGTTGCTTTGTGTGAGTTTGCTATTAAGGGCCACTTCCCAAGTTTTCAAAAATCGTCAGTTCAAAGTGTACTCTCTGTATCTTTTTCCCAGTGCCATGCTATCCTCTTCCCAGTCACTGCTGCTAATACAGTAATAGAATGAAGACTTCATGTAGCAACTGCCTTTTTGTTCCATTTTAACTGCTTTCGTGTGTTGTGCAAAATAGGGAGAAGGCTGTTATTAGAATGCAGTGAACTGTTTTATTTGTTATTTGGGACATGCATTTACATCATTTCTACAAGATGTTACCAGTGATGAGGCTTATATGTTACAAATGCAGCGAGAGGGCTTCTTTGCAGCCCCTTCATGGCTGTTATTTTTGCAATCTTTGGCTCTATCACACTCCCCAGCTCCCTAACAAATGGTTTTCCCTAGCAAAAAAAGGGGGTGAATTGTTACTCCTGGATGTCGGGAAGCAGTGATTCACCTCTTAAATAGACTGCAGCTGCCTCTCAATTTTGAACTCAAAAATATTTACAGATGTTCCAAATCTATAAGTAAACTTCCTGCCATTTCCCATTCCAGTTTGCTCTTTTGTGTGTTTTCACATTCCACATTTTTGTGGTTGTTGCAACTTCCAGAGGATTCCAGGGGAAGAAAACTAGTCTCTGGATCCCCCCCCCCCCCACATAGCAAATAATGACAATTCATAAGCATGCAGAACAGGATAGTTCAATAGCAGTCTCCTGGCACAGTCTTATGTAGTTGAACTGTAAGATAAGGGAGAACCCACAGGATTCCCCAGCCCACTCAGGTAATCTAGAAATATACCATGTCTGAAGCAGTCAAAGACTATTCCAAGATCTGTGTTCCTCTAGCACAGGTTATGTTCTAGGACAGTGGTTCCCAACCTTGGGTCCTCAGATGTTCTTGGACTAAAATTACCCAAAGCTTTATCACTAGTTCTCCTGGCCAGGATTTCTGGGTTCCAAGGTTAGGAACCACTGTTTTAGCAGATCGAAACCATTTTTAGTCTTCCAGCTGGATTGTAATGGATCCTGAAAATGGTAGCAAAGTGGAACGCCTGGAGTAAAATGGCCATCACTATTTTGAATAGCTTGCCTAGAAAGAGAAGGTTTATAACCAAGAGAAACAGCTAGATGATCTAAATTAAAAAAAAAGGTGTGGAGAAATTTCTCTGGCAAAAGCACACAACCACCTCCTTTAAGAAGGTTGGAATTTAGTGGTGGTGGTGTGGGGAGCATCATCCTGGATTCTGGGCAGCATCATTCTCTCAGCAGGTTGTTCAGGGGTTAGTTCTGGTTTTGAACCAGAGCGTAAGAGGAGAGAGGGGAACAGAAGAGTGGACTGAACTTGAAAATAACCCTGCTCTAATGGGTTACTGTTGTTCCGAATGCTGAGAACTGACTGTTTGCCCTGAAACTATAGGTCAGCCTGTTATTGCTGTCTATTTGCATGTTAGCTGTCAGAGTCTACAAAAGTGTCTTCCAGCAAGTGCTGCATAATTCATTGTGCAACTGTAGGTCCAGCAAATCAACAGAGACTTAGTGTTAGCTTTGAAGTTTTGAAGAAAGCAGCATAATGAAATAGTTAGGCTCCTTAGGGTTGTGTCTAGTAATACTGTATTCTGAAATGGCTTCTCCATAAAACCAAAATGTGTGTGTTTTTGTGTGTGAGTTGCAAGAATGATGAAAGGTTCCCATGTATGCAAATAGCCAGGTGTTTTTTTTCTAAAATAGAAACAAATCTGATTTGTATAATTTACAAAGTCTTTTATATTTTACCTTTTGGCCACAGGGGAAAAAAGTTACTAGAGAAGGGGTCAGAAACAATATTTTTGATAGAATATTGCTGATCTCTCCACTGGAAGTCGGAAAGACATTTAATGTTCTTTCAGAAGTTTGTTTTGGACTAGCCGTATGGAACGTCTGGCCCAGAAGTCAGATGCATCCTTTAGATGCCAGCCTGCAGCCTCCGCACTGATTTTTCATGGCTTCTTTTATCATCTTTCATGGGTTTGACATGCTTTACCATGTGGGAATGTTTGGAGCAGGATGGCAGCAGGTAAAGATGAACATGGTCATGTTTTTGCCTCCATAAGAATCACCTTTTCAGCAATTAGGCTTAGGCAAAGAAAAAAAAATAGATAGAGAGTGGGCTAAATGCAAGCCTGTGAGTATGTCACAAGGTGTTATCACCTATTTTGGGCCTTCCTATCACCATATGCCCACCCTCAAATAGTTTCACTTGAGACGTCATTCAGCTTTAAAGAGTCACAGGAACAGCTACCAGCTTTCACATACAAAAACATAGGTTGGTTAGTTACTAGCAACCACCTGGAGTTTCCTTATCTTGGAGGAAGGCACTAAGATGAACTTGGTTGATGCAGAACCTCTCCAGGCAGGCATATAGATCAGTACTGTATATGGATTGCTGTCGTTACATTTCCTTTTGAATCAAATTACAACATTCATACATATTTCTACTTAGATTGATCCATCCTGCCCCTTTAAGAGCTGTTGCACACCTTTCTGACACAACAGTAGGACATGTATTCTTTTTTATGCACTCCTGTGTGATCCTAATCAGCTCATTGCCTGTGCAGATGATTAGCTTCCACCCAAATGGAATTGTAGGTGGTGTTCTCTAAGGTGACAACCTTGTGATGTAATATGTGGCTTGTGACATTAAAAGGGAGAATGGAGAAACACTCTCTTCTATTTTCACCTTCTTTTAAAATATTTCCCTAGCTGATGCAGCATAATTCTCATACCATTCTAGGCTGATACAGTGCTCTTTTGATATGCCACTTAGTTTAATTAACATACACACGAAAAGGAAAGCCACTGTGGCTGACTGAATAATGACAGTGTGAAAAGGTGAGGAGGGGCTATGTCAGCTTCATGGGCTCTACCCCCACTAGGCAGGACAGCCCCAGCAGAACCCCTGCAGAGGAAAAAAGCAGGAAAAGGGGGTTGACTCCCTTCCATCTCCCCGACCTTCACTTCAATGGTTTCCTCTCAACCACTACTGTCATCTTACTCATGAGTAAACTGGGTAAGCCTCACATGAGTAAACTTCTGTGGACCTCTCTCACAGTGTGAATTGAGAGTTGTCTCAAGATAAAATAGATTGCACTGAAGGTACGTAGAAACCTTTAAAGTGCAAGCCAGACTGCTCCAAATTCCACTGTCTGGACAGACCTTTAGTCTTCTAGTGAACGTTGTGAAAGAAAAGAAAAGTGGCGGGGATACTCCAGAATAGCTATACAAGTCAAAGCATGTGAGTTTACTCAAAGTATCCTCTGAACCCATGGAGTGCCTTTTTGAAAAAGGGGGTAATTGGTCATTTAAACCACATTAACAACAACATGGGTTATAATAAGATGAGGTCTCATGGGAATACATTCATTCCCCCCCCAAAAAAATCATTTTGCCATCTTTAAAATAATTTAAACACCTGTCTCATATCTTACTGCTTATCATGATGGCAAACTTGTAATAGTAGCAATAATGTTGCTGTTGAGGATGAGGATGATGTAAAATGATGGTGGTGCTGTAGCTGAAAATTACAGAAAAAAATGAGCATTTAGAATCATGCATTCTTGTTAACATTAGAAAATGAAA